TGACCCCGTGTGCCCCGCAGGGACTGCAGCCTGCCTGAGAACCCGCTGTTCATCGCCTGCGGCGGCCAGCGGCCCAGCCCCCAGGGGTAAGTGTCCCAGCCTGGCTCCCGGCGACATGCTCACCGAGGGTGTGCCCTCCCCACCGGGGGGTTCAGAGCAGAATCACGGGACGGGCTGGGCACGGGGAAGGCGCTCAGCGAGGCACACGCCAGCCTGCTGCTCAGTCAGCATCACGTGGGAGCGAGTGGTGTTAGTGATGCCGCTACTGCTGTCCTCACCCTTAACCTTGACCCAGGCCTCACCCTTAACCTTGACCCAGGCCTCACCTTTAACCTTGACCCAGGCCTCACCTTTAACCTTGACCCGGGCTTCACCTTTAACCTTGACCCAGGCTTCACCTTTAACCTTGACCCAGGCCTCACCCTTAACCTTGACCCAGGCCTCACCTTTAACCTTGACCCAGGCCTCACCCTTGACCTTGACCAGGCCTCATCCTTAACCTTGACCCAGGCCTCATCCTTAACCTTGACCCAGGCTTCACCTTTAACCTTGACCCAGGCCTCACCCTGAGGAGCAGTGGCCAGTGAGGCCGTGTCTAAGGATGAGGCGGGGCCTGATGGGGTCTGGGACTCGGTGCCCAGGTCGCACATTTCACTCAGGGCTGAGCAGTGAATAGTGCAGGTGCCACATTCCTCCTCGTTGGGTGGATCCATGGGCCCCAGGTGCTCGTCAGGGTCCGTGTTCCTGGGGCCACGTCGTGCGTTTGGGGAACGAGGACATTAGACGGAGAAGCGTGACACGGACGGTGGTGCCTTGTGAGGAACCGTGTAGCTTTGGGCAGGAGCTCGCTCAGCACGGGGACGAGAGGGGGGACTGTCAGGGGCTCCGTGGCCGGTGTGGCTCAGTGGCTAGCATATCGGCCTGTGGACAGAAGGGTCCCGGGTTTGATTCGGGTCAAGGGCACGTACCTTGGTTGCAGGCTCCTCCCCGGCCCGGGCCCTGGTCAGGCCGCGGGCAGGAGGCCACCCATCGATGTGTTCCTCTCACATGGATGTTTCTGTCTTCCCCCCTCCCTTCCCCTCTCCCTACAAACCAATGGGAAAATGTCCTCGGGTGAGGATTACAAAACAAAACCAAAATGGGCTCTGAACCTGTGACTGAGGGACGGCATCCTTCAGCTCAGGGCGGTTCTGGTCTGTCCCGCTCTCCAGCTCCCAAGTGCAGAAGAGCGATGCCCACAGAAACCTGACCGCCTCCCTCCCCAAGGACGCCGGGAAGAACATCAACTACACGGCGAGGGGCGCCGTCTTCAGCGTGGACTCCTGGACCTCGGTGAGGAGTGCCCGCTCTGCGTGGGGAGGGGCCCCTGCGGCCTGTCCCGCGGCGTCACGGGCTGTGTGACGGACGCTCCCTGAGAGGCACTCGCGTGTGCCAGGCCCCAGCCCCTCGGCCCCCAGTCTGGTCTGTGCCAGAGCCGCCGGCAGGAGGGCCGTGGCTCCGGGGTAATGGGCAGAGGCCCCGAGCGGCTGCTCTGGGCTGCCTGGGCCCCCGTTTGGCCTCGGTCTCCCTTGGGCGGGCTCAGTGTTGTCCCCGAACTCGTGAGCGTCTAGCGCTTGGTCACTCCCGGCCTCTCCCGTCTGCGTCTGTGTCTGCAGGGCCCGCGTCAGGGTCAGCAGCCTCCCACGCGGGGGCTGCTTGTCCCCTGGTTCACACGAAAGGCCTCCCCCATCGCCACGACTCTCGTTCCAGGACTCGATGTCCTTCA